AAAAAAAAAAAAAAAAAAAAAAAAAAAAAAAAAAAAAAAAAAAAACAAAAGAAAGAATCTCATCACTTGAAGCCACCGGCGCCCGAGGCCCAGGCCAGCCCGGACTTTCTCCGTAGCAGAGGGCGCCGCCACCCCAGCAGCCAGGACTTCGTGTTTGTGCGCATCCCGGCCGGGGTGGGAGGGCCACCAGAGCAGCTTTTACACTCCAGAGACAGAAACAAAATCTAGAAGTAACAGCGAAACAAAAACAAAGAACCCGCTTCCCTCCTGGCACCCTGCTCCACGCCGTGTAGTCAGCCCTTCGGGCGACACCTCACCACCTGCCCCAGGACCAAGGCTGCTTCCCTCTCTCGGCCCGGCCCGGGAGACACCCTCACACCCAAAGATGCTTTTGCCAAGACGCTGTGCTCCACCGGGCCCGCTTCCTGTACACTGCTTCTGGGACTCCAGGCAGCGGGCGAAGGAGGTGGATGGGGAAAGGATGGGAGAGTGAGGGAAGAGGTTTTGCTGTGGTCAGGGGATGGGGTGGGGTTGGCGCTGGAGCAGCAGGGGGCAGCGAGGGATCACCTCCCCTTCCCTTTCTGCCAAGTAGCCAGATGTCTGTTCCCCGGCCTGTCCCGCACGGCCAGCCTGGCTGGGTGTCTCCTGAGCGCCTCCTACTCCCAGCCCCTTCGGCGTTGTGCTCCAGCCCCCCCAGCCCCCACCCTTCAGGACAGCGTAGTCCCATTGCCACACTGGCGCAGCACCTCATTGCCATTGCCCCAGGGGCGGCTCTTCTGCCTCTGTCAGACCTCCTATCTCACTCTCCTTTCTCACAAGTGCCATGAGTTTCAAACATCTCCGGGTCTCAGCCTGCTGCCACCATGAACTTCTTTGGGTTAAGGGGAGGGGCTCCAGAAGAAACCGGGAGAAGGGGACAGGTAGGTGGCTGGAGGGACCCTTTTTGCTGCTAGAAAGCCCCCTCCCTTCTCCTGGGGAGCTGGGGCTGGCTTGTCCTCACCAATCAGGAGAGAAGGGTCGGACCAAAGACAGTGGTTTGTCCCACAGGGAACAGGCATGGGGAGAGGTGAGGTGCAGTTCCATCTGTGGCTTTTTCTGGGGGAAGTCAACCCATTTCACCAGGAGCCCGTGGACAAGGTTGAGATGGGGAAGAGGAGGAAAGATGGGGCAGGTCTTGCCAGAGGGCTGTGTGAAAAGAGCCCTTGACCTCACCAGGCCCTGAGCGCCCGCGGGTATGGGGCTGGCCTGGGGAGACGGGCACAGAGCTCTCGGCCCACAGGCGTCAGGAGCTGCGTCCTCTCCCTAGCCCGGCCCTCCTCTGTCTCCAGACATGGACAATCAAGGGGAGAGAGGGTGTAGTGGCTCTTGGAATCACCTCCAGGCTGCATGGCAGGGCCCCCTGGTGGGGCTGGGTACCACTGCAGTCCAGTGCAAAGCCTCCCAGAGAGCCCAGGTGTCCCTGCCCCAACCAGACCTGTTGCCTTGATGCCCCCACCCCAGCTGGCACAGTACAGAGAAGGGTCTTGGTTTCCTCTCCTGCTCCCCTCCTTGGGCTCCTGGATTCATTTGCTCCCAAATAGTCTTTTTCTTCGGATTTTTTTTTTTTCTTTTGGGTTTCCTTTGCCTTTTCTTTCTGTCCTGTCTCCACCTCTCTACCTGTGTCTTTCTCGCTGTCTCCATGCTCCCTTCCTATTCATCCTCAGTCCCTCTGTCCATTCGGGCCTCCCCCACATCCCCCAGCCCATCCTCCCTCCTTGGTCACCTTTTCGATATGCCAAACCAATTTTGGGTCGAGTGCATTTAACGAGAACAAAATAAAAGGCTCATAACAAGAACGTTTCAGAAAAAAACAAAAAGTTAAAAAAAAATTGTTGAGTCAAAAAGTCAATAAAGAAATTAAGATTTCTTGGAAAGACGAGCGGTGTGATTCATTGGGGGGTCAAGAAACAGGCAAGGGCAGCTCTGCACCCTAAGAATCTGGACTCGGGCACCCAGCCATTCCTGGGGCTGGGCTGTGGACAGCTGGGACAGAGCTCAGCAAGTCCCTGGGCTGGCTGAGCAGGCTGCACGCAGCTTTGCTTGGCACCCTTGCAGCGCTCCACTTTACAGGTAGGGAAGCTGAGGCTTACACAGGGGCTCTGGCCAGACCACGGTGCTGTGCTGTTCCTCAAAGAAGCCCTTCTTGGTCTAGACATCTGTCCCCAGGCTACCTGGAGCAAAGCCTGGGAACATTACAGCTGATCCCTGACCTAGACTCCCATGTGCTGCCAACACAGTGGAGCTGTGTCGTGTAGGTCACATGGCCCAGACGTAACTTCGGTGCTCACAGACAGGACTCAACAGTGAGACTCTGCCCTCGGCCAGGACACTAGTGCCTGAGGTGCCTCCCATGCCACCCAGGCTGGTCCTTCCCAGCCTCCCCTCTGCGGCTGACTCCTTCCCAACTCCCGACGTCCAGATCCTCGCAATCCCTAAGTGGACTCAGCCCTCTGTTACACCCACCTCCTGGGAGATCTCCCATCTCCCAGTTTACCCAAATGCTGATGGCTCCCAAAGGGGGCTCTCCAGGCTGATGTCCTCTGGAGCCCCTTGATATCCTCCCTGGGGTCCAGCAGGTCTCCTGCCTCCCCATGTGGCCCCACCCTCACCCCAGCTGTACACCAGGAGTTCAGCTTGAGCTCTCCTGGATGCGTGGGGCCTGCCTGTACCCAATCTGGCAAGAGCTGTAAAGGTGCTCAGACTCCTCAACAGCCAGTTAACCAGTTCTCCCCACTTGGCTCCAGCCACCCTAACTCACCAGAACCGATCCCTCCGCAGAAATCAGAGTGACCTTGGGAACACATCCTGTCCCTGTTTCACACTCCAATGGGCTATCCAGCAGAAGAGGCCAGGGTCTGCACTTGGCTGCGGTGAGAACACACGCCAGTCACCCTCCTGCCAGCCTCAGGACACACACAAGAGAGCACTGCCACATCTGCTCAGCTGAGAAGGGAACCTGGGGCTGTTCTAGGGCTTGCACATCCACGCTATACCCACTCATGTCCCTGCCCACCACCGACAGGCATGAGGAGGGATGCAGCAGTCTGTCCCCAGCACCTTGATTAGGCCAGAGTCAGGGCTGTCGCTGGACCCCACCCATGTGTGGCAAGTGGAGAAGGCCTTAGGTGCAGAGCATCTGAGTCTGAATGTCTCCTCTCCTTCAGACCCCAAACAGCGGACATGTTGGCCTCTGCCTGAGGGCTCCTGTGCTGCCTACTGACACCTGCCGACAGCGCACCAGGCCCTGCTGGCCTCCCCCTCACCATGCCCTTCACAAGACACTAGGATTGTCTTTATCCAATCTCTGAAGCTGCTGCTCTTTTCTATCTGCCCCATCCAAGCTACCTGCCACTACCCCGCCTCTCCACCTGGCCCGGCCATCACTTCAGGCCAGGCTGCCCTCCCTAGAATGGATCCCAAGAAGTCCCTCCCACATAAGCACAAGTGTGACTCGGCCACAAGGAGTGCAAAACGAGACAACCCCAAATGGCAGCACTGAAAAGGGTTAGAGAGTATGCACATTCATTCAAACACAGTGCCACTAAAACCTAGGGTACCAAAGACCAGTAAATGAAATGCAAGTACATTTATATTAAATGTAAAATATATAAGTAGATAGCATACTTGTTAATATCACCACTGAGTCATCAGCATTACATACTGAAAAACTGTTAGGTTCATGGTGATGAGTAAAAGCTTCCTAAATTTCTAAGTTTTACAGTTTGTCACTATCAATTATTGGCCTTGAAGTGATCAGATTAATTCATTCATTTCTAAGATGTCTGTCACAGATCCTCCCAGCATTCTGTGAAGCTGAGGCAGGAAGATCACAAGTTCTAGCACAGCCTGGGCAACTTAGTAACTTGGTGAGATACTGTCTCAAAATAAAAATACAAAAAAGAAAAGGGCTGAGGATGCAGCCTAGTGCAAAGGTCCTGGACTCAATCTTCAGTACTGCAGGAAAAAAAAATCTTAATCTGAACAGCGTTCCGTTAAAAAGACCCACCACACCTCAGTGCAAAGGATCTATGAGCTTTAACTCAACTCCCACCAGCCTCCAGCAAGCAATGCCACAGCACTGGGACCTCCCACCTCCCCACACAGAGAACCCTGAAAAAAGGCAAGACAGGGCCAGTCCGTGACGTGACTGATGCTTTCTATTGCCTCTCAAGGATATTGCTGAGTGAAATGGAGTTGGTGTATGTTGACTGTGAGGCAATTTGGTGGCAACACCTCCACTCCTGCTAAGGTGCCAGTGGGCTCACACACACACACCCCTTGCTTTTGTACCCATAATGCAAGTAACAGCACAAGGCAAACTAATGGCAAAGCTGATGCTATGCATCTCCTGAGGGTTCCTGGGGACTCTCAAGGGATCCCACTTTGAGAACCACTGGACTGTCAACAAACAGAAGTGGGACGACTGGGTATCCTCATGGAAAGAACTGTCATTGCCCTGTCTCACATTATAAACAAATTCAAGGTAGTTTTTTTTTTTTTTTTTTTTTTTTTTTTTTTTTTTTTTTTTTTTTTTTTTTTTTTTTTTTTTTTTTTTTTTAAGA